GCATCGGCAACCGTCGCTAACATTCCTAACATTTTAAAATTACACGATTTAAATTGTAAATATACAACTGATATAGATTAAAAATAAGATTATCAGAGAATAACATTAAAGTGATTTTAATTTTTTTTGAAATTTAATACTGGAAAGCTTTGTAAACCTCGATGTAAAATTTAAATACACGATTTTATTTGTAAATTTAGCATTTTAAAATTAAAATTTGCAATTTCTCAAAATACCTTTTCTTCGTTTTCTTTGTGTATACATGGACAAAGGGATTGTATCAATTTTACGAAAAGGAACAATATTGATAGTTTGTAAAAAAAATGGTGAACATAGTAAGTAATTTTAAAAACTATTTTTAAATTGTAATCAAATTGTTTCAATTAGCTCTTTATATAACTAATATAAGTAAGAAGCAAGAGTTTCTATGTTTAGTTTCTTATATTAGTTATATAAACTAAAGAGATTGAGTTGTAACGAAAATTGTAATTAAATTAATTTTATGAGCAAATTTTTCGAATTCGATCTCATACTTTCTAATTACAATGTATTGCAATAATAATATATGGTTAAGTAAACAAAATCTAGCTCATCAATAATCAAACCTTTTAGAAACGATGTTGAAGATTTTGAGTTTTCTTTTTATTTATGTTTGCAATTTTTCATAATGTCGATACAGACAACCAAAAACAACAAAAGCAAAAACTAAACATTAAACAAACAAAAAATTGAATTGTAGTTGAATACATGAACATTGATATAATTAAACAATTAAAATTAAAAAATGATTATATGATTATGATATCGTCTTATGATTTGAATTTTCTCATTGAGTCACCTACTAGAGTATCTAATTATTCAAGCACTTGAATTGATGACTTTGATTGAGCATTGAGCACTTGTCATAAGAAAATGCGATAAAAATTTTAATATGGAACCGCTTACACAAAATTATAAGTATGTTATAAGTGATCATAATATATCCTTGAATTTGCTCAAAAATTATTCTAAATTATATATTATTTTCCAAAATTACCTGAAGTTTGGAGGACAGAACTTGAGAAACAGACCCATCTGTGGTTTATCATAATTTTGTGTATGCGATATATTTTCATATGCATGATTGCTCTTTTACTGCTTTCTATTCCAAAAATAATAACAAATTAAAAAAATGGTTGACAAATGCTGATTCAAATAAAATAAGATATAATAATGAAATGTTTAATCTCATTTTGGAACCTGAAAATTCAAAAAACTGTTGAAAAGAAAATTGTCTTTAAAATAGAAAAGCATAAGAATGATAATTATGAGGAAAAGTTCTGTAAATGCAGTGGCAATTAAAAAAATCTGATGTGGTCAGCGTATAACCGACCCCATTGCATATTGCTTAGTTTAGTGAAAGTATTACAGAAGATTATGAAAATGCCTTTCAAATTCAAAAGAACGTAGCAAGCTAACATACCTATAAAAGTGTAAATTTGGCTCTCAGAACTCAAATATCAAATTTCGAGGAATTCCATCAATCCGTTCCGTAAATGTTTTAAAAAATGTAAAATCAGCCCTCAATTTGGTTCCCAAGCTCAGATTTTTCTAAAAAATTTTTAGATTCGTTGTTTTAAGACTCCGAATTTAAAAATTAAATTTCAAGGAAATTGGTTGATTGTTTCTGTTTAAATATGCGTAAAAATGTAAAATTGGCCCGCAAAAAGGTTCAGTTCCAGAGGTTTGGTATATATTCCAAAAGTTGACCAATCCGTGCCATATTCAAGATAAACTCATATAAAATTTCATCAAAATCGGCTCAGCTGAACTTGAGATACACGCTTGCACACACAAACCGACAAACAGACATCTCTCTAAAAGAAGCTTATGTACGCATTCCTACTATGGAGAAGTGTGTTTCCACCGAAAACTCGACATCCAAAAAATTTGGTATCATTACATAATCAACCTCATTGTATACAATGCGGTCGGTAAAAAGAAATGAGCTTCTGTTAAAAAGCTTAGGAAACCGTTATTAACGAAATTGAAATTAATAATATCATAATTTCTGACGAACGCAAAATCGTAAAGGAGTTCAACAACTATTTTGCTGATATTGCAAAAAGCTTAAGTGAAAAAATATTTTAAATAATAAAAAACCGTGTAAGTACTAGTGATCATATAAACAACTTCCTACTTAAAAAAATTTCTCCAAAAATATCAAAGGTTTAAGGTTATATTTTTATTATTTCAATTTATAGTGGTATTTTTCCAAATTCTTTCAAATGTGCTGAGGTTATTCCTTTTCATACAAAGGGTACAAAAATGTTGATGGGCAATATATTGGCCATCACTTTTGCCGTCTTTGGCTAATTTATTTGAAAAATTAATTAAAATTAGGATCTTGGAATTTTAACACAAAACAAATTTTTTTAAGTGAAATTCAATATGGTTTTTTATCTGGTAAATGTAACTGAGCAAAACCATTGTGCAGTAAAACCTATTTGTGGAATTAAACCCAGATTATTTATCTTTAAGTTGTAAAGATTAGAAGTTCGTAATTATAAGTTACTTTTATCTTCGTATAACTTCAAAAGAGAACGCTACGCAACTAAATGTATTGAAGGAAGAAATTTTGAATTCTGAAATAGAGACTAGCAGCTGAAATGCCAATTCTTATTGTGAATAATAAGAAGTTATTTAACTAATTGTGGAGCAAAACCCATTTTAGAAGATTTTATGGTGCTATTTCAGTTGATTATTTTAATAGTCTTTCTGGGAATATTAAAAGTTCCAACTCTTTAAGTAAATTTACGAAACTTTATAAAGAGTGGTTATTGAGGTATGTTTTAATTTAAACTTTGTGGAATCTATTTTTATTCGTGGTAGATCGGTTCCAGAAGTGGTTCCAGATGGAGTTTTGTTCTTCTGTAGTTCCTTAATAGGACTGTAAACATGATGTGAAGTAAAGGAACTTTTGCTAAATACTGATGACTTTCAACTTTGCTTTAAAAAACAGTTTACTACTTATTTCCCCTCTAATTTTATCAAATCTTACTACTTATATTATTAATATTAAAAAAATAATATTATTAAAAACTCTGTGTCGTTTAATTATTAATTAAATTTGTTAGTTGAAGATATTAACGATTTTAAATTATTTGTTTTAAATGAAATTTATTCTAAAATAAATCCAATAATTAATATTATTGCTAAATAAATTTTAAATTTACTAATTTTATGTTACTAATTTCCAAATTATCACATTTTTATTAACAAAATATTTTAAAATATTTTTAAAGAACTTTAATTATAAATAATTATAATAAGTTAAAACTTATTAAAAGTAATCTTTTTTGGAACAAAGATTTATTACCAGCAAATTTTACAAACAACGTATAACAACGTTTTTTTTATCGTCACATTGTTATTCCAAAATGTAGTGAAATTTATCGAAGGGGTAAGTTTTCTTAATTGGAAAATTAAAGTAATTGCCTATAATTCTAAATTAACTTTATCTTTACATAAAATTTCAAAAATTCTTCCTTCCATATAACCTCCATATGTATTTGATAGTTCTTAAAAAAATTTCTAGGAATCTGAAGTTTTGAAAGACAAATTATTGTCTGAAATATTTTTCTCAAAAAAAATTAAAGAACTCTTCGAGACTAAATAAAAGATAAACCGATAAGTATTTGCAAAATATTTTCAACTGGTTCCTTTCCAATATTTTTGTGCGATATACCTGTTTCAGTAAGCCAGTATTTAGTTACAATGCCGATCCGTGTCGTGTTTAAAATATATACCCGTTTTATCTATCAAAAAAGATACATGCTCCTACGGCGAATACTTTAATATCAAAGTACAATTCATTTCAAATACATATACTTATACATTTATCGTTTTGGAAATTTTTCCTTTTTGGTCTAAAAATTAAAAATACTATAAGTAATATAAAAGTATTAAAACATGTTTCGACCATAAAATGCAAATGCTAATTATCAATGATCCAATTGTTGTCAAATTTGGTGTCTACATAATCAATTTTATCTTAGTTGAAAGTTGAACAAGTCTCAATTAAATATTTTCATGTTCAAGAAAATAATAATCAATATTTAAATGTTAACATGCTATTTTAAGCCAATAATTAAACTCAATTTTTAAAAAGAAAAATATTTTATCCAATACATGAGCCGCAATTAAGAACAATTCATGAAAAGTTTATTATTATATTTAAAAACTGTTTTGATTTAGAGTAGCAATTATAATAATGCTCTATAATTATAACCGAAGCAAATTAAATTAGAAATTTAATTTATAGTGTAATTAAATGTTAAATATAAAAACCAGTTGTAGTATTTCATATAAAAATTTCAATTTGGCATTTTAAAAACAAGAAAGTTACACTACTTTATGTAACTCACACTTTTTTTCATTTAAAACAAAATATTTTACCTAAAGGACTTTCAACAAAACGATGGATCATTGAGCGACATTTTAAACACAACGAAAGTATGTAATCCATACAGAATAGACTATTAATTTGATTTTTTTAATTCTTATACAAATATAACACAACGCGGCATTATGTTAGAAATTACATAAAATCAAGTTTCACTTTTTAAAAATCTAAGCCTGTATTGTTGGAGAATATATAAAAGGCTGGTATTAAAATCAGCATGTTCGCAAAGAAACAATAACATTTAATTTACATTTTAATGAATACAAAAATGAAAATTTTTGATGCGAAAAATTCATTTAATATTTTCCCCCAAAAATGAAAGTGCATTCTATAGAAACTAAATGTTTGTTTACCTGGTTTGAGATCGTGAAAGAAGCCAAAACATTCAATGATTGTATACCTACACACTAAGCCTAATCAACACCTACTGGATTATTTATTGCAAATTACTTACATACATATAGAAAAGGCTATACTATTAGTAAAATGATATTTAATATAAAAATTTATAATATAAGGTTTCTAAAAAGTAATAAGTAAACGTGCAAATACTTACTCAAGGCGGCAAATTTCAAGATTTTGGTTTTTCCAAGTCTTTTCAAAAGCTCTTGTTATTTATTAAAAGCCGTTTGATATTTATTAACTTTTTATAATGTAAATTTTATTAACTTTATAGAATTTTAGAAAACATCTTCCAGAATCTGTTAGAATAAAATCACATGTAACATGAATATATGTATACGCATGTAAATACGCCAAGATAACTTTCGCCAAGATTCACTTTGAACTTTATTCAATGTATGTATATGTACGTAGACGCTGACAGACAAAAATGCAATTGCGTAATTCTTTAATGTATTAAAATATTATTTTTAAAATTATTCAAAAATTAAATTAAACATATAAGATGCATTACGCATCCACTTAATTATAGAAGAATAAAATTGCAATGATGGTTTTTGAGACAGGTGCAAGTTATTCTAAAAACACTTATTAATTTATTCTATTTTTATGTCTTCACTATATCCAGAACTATGATTATATTTGCGTTGTTTGAAATTATCGATGGAAAACTATTCAATTTTCTTTTTCAATAGGTATTTTTTTATATATAGGCAGTAAAATTTACTTTTGTTTTTTTTACTTCTCTTTTTTTAATTTTCTTTTTTCACGCGACGGTAACGTATTTAATTTGCAAAAATATTTATTTAAGTACAAACATTCCCAATTGATTAATTAATACTTAGAATTTATTTATAGTTCTATATTATAATAAAATTAATTATTTTATATTACTTAAATTGGATTTTTTAAAATTTTAATAAAGGATACCAAAAAATGTTTATATTACCAATTACATACATATGTATATCATATTATACAGATTTTTAATTATCCTTATTTGAACAATTAAATAGTTGTAAGATGATATATAAGAAATAAAAATAGAAATGAAAAAATAATTTTTTTTTTACGACACTATCACCTCATAAATTTTATTCCCAAATTTTCACTGCAGAAGTCCTTGCTTCCGCAAATTGTTACACAATAGGAGGTAGACATTTATAACATTGTTAAAATTTATTGCTATTTATTTTTACCAATAAAATAAATATTATATAGTACACCATATAATAGTAACTAAAATTATATTTTATTACAATGTTAGAGGTTAAGTGGATGTTAACAAATACGTTATTTATGTTCTTTTAATTTTAATAGACTTACAAGTACCCTTATTTTTTATTTATTTATTATATTTGTTTAAAATTGTTATCCTATTAAATACCGATATGCTTATTATTTAAATAGGTACCATTATTTTCATAAAGTTTTAATACCTATTTTGTGTTTATAGACATTTTTTTAAACTTTCAAATATATGAAATAAAAAACAAAAATATGACTTTAAAAAATATTTACATATGTATATATTTTATTTTTTGCTAACATTTATTTAAAATTATTTTTTTGCATTAAAATTTCTAAATCACTCAATCATTGTACACATGTACATAAATATGTACACATAATTTTTTAAAATTATTTTTAGTTCTTTTTTTTTGTCAATTTTTTACAGGTAATGATATAAAATTTCCGATTAATAAACGTGGTTTTTCACCGCCGACGTTTAAGTTTGACTACTTGAATATAATTCAAATCGAAAATATTATTAGGAATTCAATAACACACTATGTAAGATGTACAAAGCAAAGCAAGACAAAAACAACGAAAAAGCAAAAAGTGTATACACGACATAAATAAAAAACCAGCGCTGCTAACACCACGTAGTGGTGCGCATACATAAAAAATAATAAATCGAAAAAAAATCGAAATAAATATAAAATAAAAATATATTTATAGTAATAAAAAAGAAGAGAAAAAAATGAATTTTGTTTACTTGCTGAAAGTTTATTTGATAGACTTTATTACTTTATTGAAGTATTTTATATATTAGATTGTGGGCTTTTCAATTGTTTTTATATTTTTATTATTCTTATTATTTTTAATATTATGTTTTTTACTTTTTTTACTTATAAGTACATAGAGATGTACGTATGCGTGTATACATGTACATATGTAGGTATAGGTACTTTAAATTTTGTTAAATTGAAACGGCAACAGTAATTTATGTTTTTTCGAATTATATTTTTTACACCTAGTATTTTTGTCTTATTTCTTTATTGTATAATTCTTTATTCTACTTGATAATGCAATATTCACAGTTAAGAATTATTATTCTAAATTTTTATTTGTTATGCAATTATAATCAAATATAAAATGTTCTCTTGCGGATTGATTTTTAGCACGATTTGTACAAATGTATAACAAGTTAACACTTGAAATGAAACGCTACAATTATTTTAAATAATAATTTATTCCTTGATTCATATGGACATAAAATAATATTTTGTTTTAACTGACATCTTTATATAAATAAATATTATTAATAAACTTTGAAAACAAACACATGCATATATACTTATTTAATATACATATGTATGTAAGTAGTTAAAATTATATAAAATGAAATTGAATAATGATAATTATTTGATATCAATTATTATATATGTACATAATTATTTTTATTTATAATATATTTATTTATAATATAAAAACTAAAATAATAAATTCATACTATTACAATTGTATGTGCTTATATGATTTTACAGCACAAATATATTTTGTATTACACTTTATTAATTATACTAATAATAGTTTATTATTATTTAGTCTCTATAGGTATAATTGTGTGTATTTTTTATGAAAATTGTTGATAAACTAAATAATCTAAGCGATTATTCATTTTATGTCCTTATGAATTACTCGATAAATTATATTATTTATAAAAGTATGTTTGTGTACAGGTATTGTATACTTGCGATATATGTATGGATACGCAATACAAACCATAAATCTTTTCCTATCATTCATGCGAATACTTGTATACACTTAAGGATTTTTTTATATAAATAAGTAAATACATATGTATGCATTATGGATATACTTATGTACATGCATAAATGAATAATTTTGATTCGGATTTTTTTGGTTATACACAAACACATACATATGTAAGTATGGATTTGAATATTAGAACAGATTACTTTATTATGATGTTTGTAAAGTAGAACTCCACAATATGTGTGCATGCATATATACACAATTATTATATATGAATAATTATACGTATGTATACATTTGTGCAAAAATGATTTTAATTTACAATTCATATTCTCAAAATGATAAAAGATAACCACTAATTCGTGTTTATGAATTTTGCAAAGCACATCATGAATACATGCACACATAAATGTGTAATTATATTTTCGTATTTAAAACAACTCAAAGCAATGTGCATAATAATGTATTTGTACATACATACATATGTTTTAACTTAATAATATTTATTTTCAGTAATTTTAAAAAAAGTAAACCTACATTATAACATATGTATGTACATATGTACGCATATTGTTAGCTAGGCATTTATGTATTTTTATTTAATTTTATCACAATTATTGTAATATTGAATTATTAGCTGTAGTTTTCGAATTCATACAGTCGCTATTATAAATATTTGTCCGTATTTTGTATATACACATACACGTATTTGAAACTAAATTTTGAAATTACATGGAAACCTGTTAACTAATGTCATAAAGTAAACATAAACTTGCATGATATATATACATACATATACATATGTATATATTTATATTTAAATCTACATACAGATGTGTATACTATGGAATACGCTTAAATATGTTTTTTTTCACTAATAAAAATGACGAAAACAAAACTAAAAAAATGTTTAGTGTAAAAAGTCTTTTTCTCTTGTTCTTTCGAAAATAAAATGCTTAAGTATTGTAATTTGCGAAATACACATCATCTATAAGCTCTTTAAAAACGAAATTTACACAATAAATAAGTACAAGCTCCGCCCATTTCTAGTCTGATATAATAAAGTATGTAGAAATTTCCTTATTAGTGCAAGCGAGATAACAGTAAAAATAAATTTTCGAAAATAGCTTTTAATAGGAATAAGAAAATCGGTTTATGAACATTTGAATGTGTAGGAGATAAATCTTAAAATGTGTATGGATTGTTATATTTCAACACATTCAGAGAAAATTAATAAGAGAATCACATTAATGTAGAAATGTGTTAGTGTAGAATTTTTTTGAAAAGTATCTACATAATATGCATGTACATATGTGTTATGCAAAAGTTTGAAGTATGAATCAAAAACTTTAAAACATTTTTTTAATTTCATGAACTTATATTTTTTGTTTTATTTTGTTTGATATCGTAATCAACGTAGCCGTTACCATTATCATAATCAATTGCTTATAGAGATTCGTAGAGTTCATATCTACATACATTTATACATATTGCGTATTGGAATATCCACAAGAATTAAGGTATTCATATAGGTACATATGTATGTTTGTAACAATTTTCAGCTGATTTTCGCTATTCTGTTTTTTATTTTATATTTTATACTATGGAGAATATGGCGAATATGAAATAGAATAGTATTAATGTTTGGGTTCTTGTGTTTTTTTTTTATTTCTTCATTTTCTCTCACATTCTTTTGTTTTTTTTTAGCGATTATTATTATAAGCAAACTATATTCATCCTTATTTTTTAATCACGTAAAGCATAGTAGGTACAGTAAAAAAAAATACAAAAATTTTTACTTGACAGTATTTTCACTTGTTTTCTTCTGTATTTTACGAAACTAAAAAAACAACAATGTGAACAAGAAAAAATGAACAGAAGGAACATCATAGGGTTTTCATTCCTTCCTTATATAAATCATAATCTTATGTCATTCTAAATGATGTGGTAATTTTATATTTAATTTCGTTTTAATTGTTTTCACTCTGTTTATACTCTGACATACATATATTAAGTACATTTTTTACTACATTTGCTTTAACAATGAGAATTTCGAAAAGGGATCTCTTATTTTAATTCAATATTTTATTTATTTTTTAAATTAAGCACTTTCTTATTTCACTTTATTATCCTCAGGAAATGCCTATATTTTGATATACATATGAATGTCTATTAATACTAACATATACGTTACGTGTTTAGTCTGTATTCGTTCTAACAATTTCATATTATTATTATATATTATATTTTTATATGTTATACAATATTTTGTTTTGCCCTATAAGTATTGCAAAATTATAGCAGACGTTTAATAAGTTCATAAAGAACTTAACATAGTTGATATTGATAAAGTGAATTTTGAATGTCAAAAGGAATCATCATCTACAATACAAGCTTTCACTTTGCATTAGTATGGTTATAGTTTAAAACCAAAATTAAGTAGTTAAGTAAACTTAACTAAAGTAAATATAGCTTCTTAGGTTTTCTCTTTGAATCGCCATTATATTTTTCTCTATAATACAAAAAATATTTCAAATTATTGCTTATTAAGTTTATTATGGCTTTTAGGATTTTTGCGAGAAAAGGAAAAAAATATGGAATTTCTTTATTTTAAAATAAAGACTCATTGATCAAAGATCAATGATCAATGAGTTTTTCCAATATGAAGAAGTCTTTACTTAATTACTTTTTATCGAATTCGATCACTTTTTTAAAAGCAAAATTTCAATATTCTAATAAATAATATAGGTATA